GTCCCACAGCCCAAAGGCGCGCACTGCGCCGTGCACAATTCGGTCCAGCAGCTGCGTCACCGACACGGCGCCGCCGACGACGGCGCACAGCCGCACCAAAAAGTGCAGCACCCCTAGCGGCGACTCATGAATGTGCATGACGATGGGGCTGAGGTCGTAGACGAGGTCCACAAAGGGGTCGCGCCGCACGGCCGCGTGGGTGCTGTCGCGGGGCACGACCAGGGGCATGGCGTACTCCGTGACGCTGTACTGGCTCGTCTCCAGGAGCATGCCGAAGCGCGTGGTGTACTCGGTGGGGACGATCTGTGTGTGTGTGTGTGTGTAGGGGGGGTGTGGGTGTGTGTGTTGAGGAGGGAATTCAGGTGGGCAAATGTGCGTGTGCATGGGTGCTTTGAGGAGCAATCCTTGGAACCAATAGGTACAAAAGACTCAAAATGGAAAGCACACAAAAAGCATGCCTGCCCAACGGCATGGAATGGGATCAGTAAAACACGCCGCCAGCAGATGTGCTGCCAAGGCCTGCTTGGCCACCGTCAAATGCACAAAATAAAACAGCTGCCATGTCTAACCTCTCCCAACCAGTCCAAACTGTCAGGTCTCATCCGCCCCGCACGCTTGGCTTGCAACAACCCCAGCAGCAGCCGCATCCCCACCTTTATGTAGTACTTGTAGGCATGGCCCCCGCCATTCGCCGCTTCGATGCGCGTCGTGCCGTCCAGGGGGCTGACCTGCCCGGGGAAGCTTGGCCCAAACGTCAGCCTGTGCACCGCGTGACTGATGTTCCGCACCCTCGGCAGCACATGCCCGCTCAGCATCTGCGGCAGCATGTCTGCCAGGCTCTGCTGGTGCACCGCGAAGTGCAGCCGCCCCGACACGCGCCGCACGGTCACGTCGCCGCGCAGCCGGCAGCCCTCGTGCGCGCCCATCTCCTGCTCCATGTCGCCAATGTGCCGCATGGCTGCCTCCATGTCGACGCTCATCACCGTGGAGGACCCCTCCCGCAGCACGCGCTGCGTCTGGGGCTGGACGTACTCGGCGGCCTTCGAGATGCGGCGGCCGCTGGCGTCGAGGCGGAACTTGTGGAGGTGAGCGCCGGCCGCAAAGTTGACGTCGCTGTCCGCGGTGCCGCTGGCGTCCATGATGTCGACACTGAGGGCTGGGCGCGGCGAGAGGGGCAAGAGAGGGTTTGGATTCACAGAGAGGGCGATATGAAGATCCGTCGCGGGTGCAGGGGGTCCACACGGCGGAGAGTCGAGGGAGAGCGAGTGCGTGCGGATCTTGGTCACGGCGCGCTGAAGCTGCCTGAGTTGTGGATGCTTTGGCTGGCGAGGTTGCTCTCACCAGCCCTTACCTGCCTGCTGTGGCCCCATCCCGCCTGCAAGGCCTGACTGCCTCAAGCCTGTGACCCTGCAAGCGCAACCAACCTGCGCAGGGTATGGCGTGGAAGCTGATGTCCACGAAGATGCTGAGGTCGTGACGCCGCCGCAGGTCAACCTCCATCTGCACACAAGAGTGGCAAGAACCAAGAATTACGTGTGTTTTAATTCACAACGTGCGGCGCAGTGAACCTCCAGTAAGAAGCCACCCTCAGGGGGGCCACAGGCTGGAAGAGCAACCCGTTACTTGATACCAGTGCTGGCATGGGGTGCCATGCCGAGAAGGCAGCTGGGTTGCGTGAGGCCGCGACCAGTGCTGCGTGCGCACGCACAGACCACAGTCGTCCGCTTGCGTGCAGCTTCAGATCGTTGCGCACCTTCGCCACCCCCTTGGCGCCCAGGAACCAGGAGAGTTCGTGGCAGAAAAGAGTCAAGGCCAGGGTGCAGCCCAGCAGCGTCACTGCGACGGGTGCCAGCAGCGTGTGTCGAGCTGTTGGGCAGGGCGGCTGCAACGCCAGCTCAACAATTACGCCATGCTCTTGATCCCCTGTTGCCGCAGCCATCGCTTTTCTCTCCATGACATCTGATCCCGCTGTGTTGCTTGCTCGCCGTGCGTATGCAGCGGCCCCCCAAACAGCTTCAGTGACATGCTGCCAAGCCCACATCCTACCGATGGCGCCATGGAGTGTCTGCTTGGTCAGGTGCTCTTCTGGCCGCGCAAACGCGCTGATACGTGAGAGGTCCAGCCGCTTCATCTCGACACCCGCGCGCGCACCCGTCTCCCTGCGCGGCGCCGGGGCTACGCCTGCGTCCCAACTCCACTAGCCACAGCGCTAAGCACGGAAACACTCGTAATGCTGAAAGATGTCTCCTGCGCAGCACCGATCCAGGCGGGTCCCGCTTGCACGCCTGCAATAAGGCGGTTCCTAGTGTGATCAAGTGATCACGGCGCCTGCGCTGACATGTGCTACTTGCTTTATGTTGCTATTGCTGGATTCAGTATGATGGTGAGGTGCCGCACAATTTTTAGCCCAGACACCCGCGTTGCAGTGGCCGCTGAGCCTTTCAAAAAGAGGTGCTCTGACGACACGCTGCAGCAACACAAGCTTAATCATTATGGGTTTCATCTCGTACGTCCCTGGTTACAACCAGGCAAAAGGCTCGGAGCAGGCCAACTCGAGTGTGGCAGCAGGTCGCAGGCATGCCGCCCTTGTGGAGCCAAAGGGGTTGATTGGGGCCGCAATCCTGACCAAGATGAGCTTGTGCCCAACAACGATCACCGCTGCTCCCCCAGACCCTGCGTAGGTTGACCGTAGATTGACCTGTGGCATGCAGCGGTTGCCTGATGCGCGTGTCTGCGCGCATCTGCTCGCTTGCCAAGTTTTACGGACGCTTTGCTACCTGGATGCGCAGATCCCCCTTGTCAAGCCCGCCTGGCTGCTGCCACACGGCGGCCTCCCCATATGGAAGCGTCTGGGTGAGCATGCGCGCAGCACGGCCGGGGTAAGAGCATTGTGCAGAGCGAGCCACAGCGGCGGCTCACGTGCGGCTGCGTGCTGTTGCATGTACATGCAGGTCAGATCTTCGCAAGATGAGTCCCCTCGTATCTATTTCAACACTTCTATGGCGCCGGATGTCTCGTCGGCACTCGAGATAGGTGCGGTGTGTAAGGACCCCTTCGTTGGGTTGCGGGCCCGCAGTTGTCAATGGACACTCGCACACAAACTTCAATATGACTTGGGCTGCCGGCCATTACTGTCTGCAAAGTTTGAGCCCCGTCGCTGTGGCAAATTTTCAGGGCGGCACAGCATGGGGGCACGTGGTGTGACGCTGGGGCCGGGTGCACGCGTGCCAGGCAACATCACGCCGCTGGACACGTACCGAGAGGTGAGACGACACGACCATTGTAGGTGATAGTCTGAATTGCGTGTGTCAATGCTTTTTGTACAACCAGACAGTTTTCACAGCGACGATGCGCAATGCGCAACTGACATCAACCGGTGCTGAGCGCAAGCGCTGCGGGGCCGATGCAGCAAGAAACTGCTGCATCGGCACGCCATCTTCCATTCAATTGACTGCGTAACTCTCATCAATCAGTACGTGTGTCTTACTGAAATGCGCAGCCACCCAGTCTGGTGGTGCTGACCTCCAAGCTCGACCGTCTCGGCCCGAGTACCCCCTGGCGTTATCACGCCAGGCATCTGCCAGAGCTTGACGGCGCCCAGCCACGCCTTTTCCAGCCGCAAAGCGCTTGGCGCCACGATGCGGGCGTACAGTGCAGCAATGTCGAATGGGCTGCGATGGATGCTGCAAGCGTGCAGTACGTGGGACAGGAGCCTTTCAGCGGCCAAGCAGAGGAGGTGAGGAAAGCGGCAGATTTGATGCTGGAGCGGCACCTGCAATTCAGCCAGCAGCAGGGGCGGCAGCAGCGGCAGCAGTGTGGCCAGCAGCAGCAACAGCAGCAGCAGCAGCAGCAGCAGCAGCAGCAGCAGCAGCAGCAGCAGCAGCAGCAGCAGCAGCAGCAGCAGCCGTCGCGATGCAGAGGCACGGGCGCCCGGCCTTGCACTGCACCTGCACGAGCGGCATGGGCGGGAACCAGTAACAGCAGCACTGCAGCTTTCAATAGCAGCACCCCGCACAACACCAAGGTTTGGCGCACCCTCAGTCTAAGCCAGGGTGGGCTGCAGCCATGGCGGGCCGCTGCAGTCGAGCCAGGGCCGCCTTGGCGCCCCGCTGGTGGTGCTGGGCTGCAGCCGCAGCGGCTCTTCTCGCCTTCATTTACCACCAGTGGCGCTACACCCCCAGCAGGCGCCCCTGGCAGCCCGCAGCGGCGCCGGCTGGTTTCTGTCAAAGTCGCGCAGCTTGAGAGGGCAGCGGCGGTGGAGGCGCGGCTGCGGCGCGAGGCAGATGAAGTGCAGCTTGCAGCCGAGCGCGAGGACGACCGCGCTGCCGCGCGGATGCTTGCAGCGGCGACAGCGGCAGGCCGTGCCAAGAGCGTGCAGCAGCCACGTCGAGCACATCCAACCGAAGCGACACGCGCGCCACCCGAGGGGCAGCAAGCGTTTGGGGCTTGGCCGCCCAAGGTGCTCCTGGCACTCGCGAGCGGCAGTGAAGAGTCTGCTGATGGATGGCTGCGTGCCTGGCGTCCCCACCAGCAGGCCGGCCAGCACCGCAGGCCCCACAGGCGCGGGGTGCTCTGCTTGAGGCGTGCCAGGGTTGCGGGCCTTGGCAGGCGGGGCCGACTGCCGGGAAACGGCCGGGCCAGCAGCGGTGACGAAATGGGTGCCTGCACAGCTGGGAGGGCTGGCTCCAACAGCGGCCAGGACGTTCCTATAGCCGCAGCTCTCCAGCCACCTGCTGTCAAGGCGGCACTACCTGCGGCCGCCGCAGACACCTTTGCACCCGGATGCAGCGATGGCAGCAGGGGCGGCGGCAGCAGCAACGATGGTGCAAGCGACAGCAGTGGGAGTTGCGGCCCCACCAGCATGGGCGGCAGCAGCCGCAGCCCCGCCGGCAAACTCAAAGAGGCACAGGCCCAAGCTGTGCCACTTTCCACACCGGCCGGCCCTCTGGGCCTGGCCCCGCTTACCGCCAGCTGGGAGCAATTGTTTGTGGGGCCTGGCCCCGGGGCCGCCTCTCTCAGAGGCGGCAACCAGTCGCCGGTGAGCTCGTCTGATGCGCCCGTTGGGGAGCTGGCACTTGGTCCTGCCGATGGAAGACACTTGGGTGCTGATGAAGGGGGCATGAAGAGTGTGGCCGAGCTGCTGGTTGAGTTTGCTGCGCTTTTGGATGAGGCCGGGACCGCACAGCAGCGCATGGCGGAGGGAGCGGGGTGGGGCTCAGAGGCTGCTGGCGCCTGCGTAAGCGGTGCAGTGCCACACACCAGGGAGGTTCCTGCTGGCCAAAGCTGCGCGGATGAAGGGGGGTTGCTCGGAAATGAGCTTGAGTGCATGTGGCCGTTCTGAAGTAACTAGGAAGCAGCTTCTTTGGGCGTGTGCCTCAACCGTTCGCACACATTACACTGCGTTGAATGAGAATTTTGTGTCTGAACAACTCATTACAGGAGGTTTCAGCACTGCTGCAGCAGCGTATGCAGTGATGGGCGAGCAGGGCAAGCTGCTGGACCGTCACCGGTGCCGCCGCGCGAGTGCCGCAGGGCGTCAACCGACCAGGGCAGCACCATGTACCGGTACTTACCGTTAGCTTGCAATGTTTCACTGCTTGACTGTATAGGGAGAGCGCCGCGAATTCCTCAGCTCAGCACGTACGTAGATCGCTGCGGGCCTTGTGGAGAAGAATGGCTCCAAAGGCCAAGTCCAAGCAACCGGCGGCCTCCACGGCCTTAGCTTTGAGCCAGGTGAGCAACAGATGCTTGGGCAGAGGGCGGGAGGCTTGCGTGCGGTGCCTAACGCGACTTTCGCGCTCGTAGGCCTCTCCTGACTTTCTATATATCAAAGTCGCTGATGGGGAACCTCGAAGATTGGCCTACGAGGTGAGTGTCGGGTGGGGACTGCCTCTCTAGGCGGTCCCGCGCCCATCGGTGCTCTACCCCTGTGTATCGAACGCTTGAGCATGACCGCATCACACCAAGTAGTGGTTGAGCTTGTAGCTTCCTCATGCACGCGACGGTCGCGGCCTGGGCGTCTGACGCGCCAATACGCGACTTGCGCAGAAAGGCGGCGTTGACATGCATCTCATCGCCCTGCTCCGTACCTGTGCCTTCACAGTTGGCCAAAATGTCGCCGTACATTGACCTCATATCGCGGACGGGTGCGGGACGGGAGCCCTCCGCTCCAGTTTTGCTTCCGCAGCAGGTGCGATCAGCTGTGTTGGGGAATTGCACCGGGCGGGCACCGAGGTTTACAGCAGACCGCCAATCTGCGGCCTTCACAACAGCGCGGATGATGGCAGACGGCTGCAGTGGAGACGTCGCAGCATGCAGCCGCCAGTCTGTGCGACCAAGTGACTTGCAAACGGGGTCGCATTGTAGTGAATGGCGTGGCGTGCCCACTGTGCTCGCAATCTGAGGACCTGCACTCATGCGTTGGCGTGTTGTGCAGGTCAATGAGGAGGTCATGGAACTGGTGGTGCAGTACATGACATACCACAGCGTGGCGGGGCGCTCGGACAAGGTGCGCTGACAGCAGGGCACAGCGTGGCGGCTTCTGAATGGCGCGGGGCGCGCTCGGCGGCAGGCTCGGCTGCAGCAGCTGCCCAACGGCGCGCCTGCTCAGACCAGTGGTTGGCTCCCCGGGGTATGGCTGGCGGCTGGCATGGGGGCTACCGCCACTCGGGTGCCTTGTCATTGTGCATGCACCTGATGGACCCCACATGATCGGCTCGCCCAGCATCGGCATAACTTTTCTTACCCTCCAATGGTGACCGGCCGGGCCGCCCCTCTCAGGAGAAGCGCCAATTCAACGAAAAGTTCGTCCGCATCGACACCAAGCGCCTCTGCGAGCTCACCTCTGGCGCCGACGCGCTGAAGATGCGCCCGGTGGTCGACCTCGCCAGCCGCCAGCTCGCGCGCATGATTGAGGGCAAGAGCCCTGACGAGATACGGGCGGCGTTCAACCTGCCGGATGACCTTACAGAGGAGGAGAAGCTGGAGCCCATACGGAATGTGGGGGAGGACGCGCGCATACGGCTGCTGAACAGGCTGTACGCCAAGAAGCGGCAGGTGGGCGTGCGCAAGGGGCTGGATTGTGGGGCTGTTGAGGGACTTGGGTGCCGACACGGAGCAGGTGCCGGCTGCAGTCACAACAGCTGAAGAGGTGCAGCCACGCTCTTGCCGTGTTCTCGCATAGCCATCCGGTCTGGCTGCATGATGCATGCGCTCCGGCCGGTCTGTTCATCACCGGAAGACGTCATCCAGGAGGTGCGGGATGACAGCGCTGATGACCCCCGTCCCACCCCACCTGCGCACACGACCAGGAGCTCGTCGCGCGAAAGGGGACGGCCCCCTCCGACGCGACATGCGGCGGCGGCGCTTCCACGTCGGCGCCGGCGCCGGCGCCAGCGGCTGCGGCCGCGCCGGCTGCAGCAGAGCGCAGCGACAGCCGGAGCGTGGAGGAGCTCCTCTCCTTCATAGAGGCAGGGGGCGGCGGCGGGAGCGGCGATCTTGGCGCAGCTGCGGCAGCAGCAGCGGGCCCTGGGTCCGCCTCTAAGAGGAAGAAGAAGAAGGCCCAGAAGCCCAAATGCGGGGCCGGCGGCGGGACGGGCAGCGGCGCCGGCGCCAGCGGCGGCGACGGCGACCGCGACTTTGTGGCGGGCGGCGGCGGCCGGCTGGACCAGGGGCAGCGGTCCGGCAGCTTGGGGGGCGGCGGCGCCGTGGGGCTGGCTGAGCTGCTGGCCAACAAGCCAGTGGAGGAGCTTATGGACGAGCTGTTCCCCGAGGACGGGTTTGAGGACTCAGGTGGGCGCCCGTGGATGCAACGCGGTGCTTGTGTGCGGCTGGTGGCTGGTGTAGAACTCTGCGAGCGCTGCGCCGGGTCAAATCTCTGAAGCTTGGCGGGCTGGAGCGAGAGCCCGGCAGGCTGGACTCGCTGGTGGATTGGACGCCAGCGGCTGGGATGCAGGGGCGTGCGCTGGGCGGCCAGTCCAGCCGGGGCGCCTGTGACGAGGCTTCACCAGCCAACTGGACTCCCTCTCATTCACATCATGCTACACTCCACCTTCCTTTTGACTCCCTGCGCCCTGCGCCGTCATGCGTCGTCGCTCCTCGATCACCGTTCGTCTCGAGCAGACAAGGACCAGGAGCTGGTGGGGGAGTTCCAGCGGCGGCTGACGGCGGACTGGAGCGCGCGTGCACAGGAGCTGCTGCACGAGGCCGGCAGCTGCGACCTCTTATCCAGCCACCTCAGCTCTTCCCCGCCCAGCGACCGCCATTGCATCGGCGGCGGCGAGGCTGGTGGCAGCTGCCGGGATGCTGGTGCTTGCGGTAGCGAAGACGGCAGCCGGCAAGCCGCGGGTGACCTACTGGCAGCGAGCGGCGCAGAGTCGTCCTGCGGGGCAGGTGGCGCCGATGCGCCGAGGCTCGCAGCAAACGGCGAGGACACTGCCGCAGTTGCTGCCGCCGCCGGCGGCAAGCGGGGAGAGGGCTGCCTGGCTCGCGTCGCAGAAGAGCTGGTGGTTGAGGCGGCGGATGAGCTGGCTCTGGAGGTTGTGTTCGAAGAGCAACGGCAGCAGGGCGCAGCGGGTGAGGCCCTCCTGCAGGGGCAGCCGGGGGCGGCGTCGCAGCGGCGTAGCTTGGGGGCTTGCACGCCGCTGCAGGTCGGCTGCAGCAAGGGCGCTGGCGGCGTGCCGACCCCTGGCGAGGTGCACGGCAGCGACATCGCGCCTGGGACACCCCTGGCATCGGCATCCCCACCCGTTAGCGCCAGCCGGGAGAGCGCACCCGGCAGCGGCAGCGGCAGTGGCAGCGGCAGTGGCAGTGGCTGTGATGAGGGCGGCGGCTGCAGCGGGCGTCGCAGTGGCCGCGTGAGGGGCGGGGGCCGCGATGAGGGCGTGGCTGCTGGTGCTGACGGGGACAGCGGCGGCACTGCCGGCAACGACGAAGCCGATGATGCGGACAGCCACAGCGGCGGCGTGAGCCCCATGGCCGTGCTAAGCTCGCTCCGCAGCCTCGATGTTGTGCACTTGATGGAGCTCGCAGGTCAAGAGGGCAGAGCAGACAGCAGTGGCATGGGCAGTGGCTGCTGGGAGGCCGCGGCGGCGCCTGTGTCCATGTCCGAGCTGGATAGATGTGCCTTTGCAACTGGCTCTACGCAATGGCAGCAGCAGCAGCAGCAGCAGCAGCAGCAGCAGCAGCGGGCGGAGGCCAGCACGACCCCCCAGGTGGCGTGCAATCCGGTTCAGGGCGCTGGGGCGGCACTAGGATGCGACGAGGAGTGGGAGCCGGGGTCAGCAGCGCCCAAACCTTGCCGAGGAATTGGTGGCGGCAGCGGGAGTAGCGCGCGGTGGCGTTGGCCGGATTGGGCGACGCGGCGGCAGGTGTCCAACGAATGATGCTTGTGTCGTTATGCCTGCCAACGTGATGGCACTACCTGTAATAAGGATTCAGTCTGCGAGTCGTGCGCGAGGGCAGCACCCGTGTGGGCCTGGATTGCCCGCCTGGTGCGCATCGTGCTCTCAACAAGCGGCGAGCGGACGCGAGTCGCATTACGGCGTCTTGAACTCTGTGGCTCAATCACCATCATCTCACAGCTTGAGCCCTTCGTACCAAACGCCACTGATTTACAGGGCCCGCTGACATACCGTACACACCCCGCAAGACACAACGTACTGGGCGCCCTGCAACAAGTGTCGAAGCTTGGCACCTCTAAGCAGTGCAAAGGCTTTTCCTGCACGCTCCTTAGGCGATGGTGCTGCTCCAGAGGGGCACGCCGTGTCTCCACACTGGTGGCAGCAGCAGCAGACGACTCACAGGGGCCTTGCTCCTACAGCACGGATGCCTGGCCAATCGCCCCACGCCTCTTGGACCCGTTGGGCTGCGGTTGAGCCCTAGATCTGTGGCTGCTCGCGTTGCCGGGGACGACCGAGCCAGCAATCCTGGAGCGCACGGCCAGCCCCACCATGGCGTGCGTCCCGTATCAAGGGATGATGGTAGCACTCAGGTGAGCTGCGCAACGCGGCCGCGAGGATAGCGCGCCTGCCGCCGCCGCAGCACGCTGCTGGCGCTGCGCCCGCCTGGCATGTGCCTCCTCCATGCACATGCCCTTTCCACGCTCGGCCTGCCCAGCAAGCCTCCGCCTCCGTGCCGATGCAGATTACCCTGTTGATGTCGATGAGCGTGTCGCTGCTGCTGTTGCCATGGGCGGCGCGGCACCCGACATTCCTGATCGGCCTGCCACTTCTGGCGTGCACGCCGGTCGTTGGCCAGGGTGTGCGCCCACTCCTGCGCGAAGCGCTCGCTGGCCTGTTCAAAGGGCTGCGGCTGTCCTCCAACTGGCTGCTGCCGCACCCGGAGGATGCGCACGCACACCATGGCGCCGGCCACCACGGGCACGGGCACAGTGCAGCGGCAGCCGCGCACCACGGCGGCGCCCACGCTGCGCGCGGCGCTGCGCACCACCGCGCCGCAGTGGCGCCCCGCAAGGCTGTGGACCCACGCACTGCGCCGCACGGCCCTGGCGCCGGCGGTGCAGCGCCCTTCGCCGAGGCGGCGGCGGGCCCTTACCAGCCGGAGCCCTACATCCAACCGAGCGGCCCCTACAGCGAGTGGC